TGTATTGATAGACATTCATTAGATCCCCCCTCAGTCTTCTCCTCTCCAGACTGAACAGCCCCAGGTCTCTCAGCCTTTCCTCTTGAGGCAGGTGTTCCAGTCCCTTCATCATCCTTGTAGCCTCCCTTGGACTCTCTCCAGTAGATCCCTGTCCCTCTTGAACTAGGGAGCCCAGAACTGGACGCAACACTCCAGGTGAGGTCTCACCAGGGCCAAGTAGAGGGGCAGGAGAACCTCCCTCGACCTGCTGGACACACTCCTCCTAATGTACCTCAAGACACTATTTACCTTCTTGGCCACAAGGGCACGTTGTTGCCCCATGGATGTTGTCTACCAGGACTCCAAGGTCTTTCTCCACAGAGCTGCTCTCTAGCAGATCACCTCCTGGCCTCTACTGGTGCATGTTGTTCTTTCCCAGGTGCAGGCCTTTGCATTAGCTCTTGTTGAACCTCATGAAGTTCCTCTTTGCCCAGCTCTCCAGCCTGTCCAGATCTCACTGGATGGCTGCACAGCCTTCAGGTGCATCAACCAATCCTCCCAGCTTGGTGTCATTAAAGTTGCTGAGAAGACACTGTCCTGTCATCAAGGTCATTGATAAAGATGATGAACAGGGCTGTTCATGCTGATGAGGGAAAAGTCAAATCCCCTCCAGTGTTATGTTCATTCTTATTCAGATGGATTCCATCTAGTCCTCTGACTTTGTTGCTTTCCTTGACAACAGTGTTTTTCCTCTGTGTCCGTAGGTTTATAGGAGTGTCCTGTTGAGAAATGGTTCTGCCAACGTCCCCTCGGACAAAAATGCCAACGAAGATGTGGAGATGACAGAAGGTAGGAACAGCCAAATCATCTCTTGTCTTTAAAAATGTACTTGCAGGCTTTTAAAGAACTGAAGTGTCAAGTACTAAGGAGAAGTGAAGTAGCTTTTACAGTTTTAAATGCATTTTAAAAATAATTGTATTATTGAAAAAGAAAACATTGTCAGTAGCACTCCTGGGTGTTAGATACAGAAAGTACACTTTGTAGTTGGAAAAAAATGTTTCCTTTTTTTTCCTTAAATGTGGCTGCTGAGGTTGAAGCGTTTCCTTAATTTGTCAGTGATACTGTAGTTCTTCCTGGACAGCAGCACTGGTTGACAAAGATACAGTACCCAGAATAGTATGACAAGGGTTTTTTTTCTTAATATCACCTGGGCTTAATATCCTAATATCTATCTTAATATTACCTGAAGGCTTAAAAAGGGAGAACTAGTTCCAGAAACTAAAAATGGTGACTTTCTAAGAGTACCATTTTCCTGTATTCAGGTTTCTTTTACATAGTTGATGTTTACTTTGCTCCAAGTTAGAGGGGAAAAGGGATGAGACTAGTATTTGAGAAGAGCATAAAAATGGTGCCATGGCTGGTTCTGGTGAGGTGTCAGGGAGCTGAGAGATCACAGGCCCATGTATGAACCCATGAGCAGGGCAGATCTGCAGCCAGGACACAAAGAGAAATGTAGAAGATGCTCCATGTGGTAAATTCCCACTATGGGTGGGATTCAAGTGCTCTTTAAGAGCTTTTGGTGATTGAGGGTCCAAGAAGGTGCTGGTTTGTAGGCTCAGCATCCACAATTCTTGGATGTCAGAGAGCATCCAAAGTGGCAGTGAGTGTTTTGTCAGACAAATGTACTTGGTTACAAAGTTTTTCAGTTGTTTTTCCTGCCAGACTTTTTCTTCAGTTATTAACTCCTGCTCTTTTGACAGCAGGTTGCAGGACTCTGTGCTTGTGTTGTGGCACAAGGCAGACACACTGAGGAGTGACATGGTATCAGCTGCAGCTTTTGGGCTTTGTCTGCAGAGCAGTAATTGCAGGAGGCTTTTCTGTGTTGCCCTGCTTGCCTTGGCAGAAAACAGTGCAGAGGATGGAGCACAGAAGGTTGTGTTCAGTAGTGGCACAGCTAAGTTAGGGGAGAGGGAACATTACCAGCAGCAGACCTGTGGGGCTGCAGCAAAGATGTTTTGCAAGAACATCCAGACAAGATGTTTTCCACTGAGCAGCCATTCCCTAGGATGCCTGAACAAATGGTGTCATGGCCTCAACTCGTTGAGTTGAGTATGAAGCTGTTCTCTGTCAGCTGATCACTGGGAACCTTCACAGAAGCTAAAAGCTGGGAGTTGTCAGACTGTTAAAACCTAGTTTTAAAAGCAGAAAGGGGTTCTGTACCAGTCCTGAAAATAACCATGGGAAATGCTACAATGTAGACATTGAACAGATTGCCCAGGGAAGCTGTGGCTGCCCCATCCCTGGCAGTGTTGAAGGGCAAGTTGGATGGGGCTTGGAGCAACCTGGGCTGGTGGGAGGTGTCCCTGCCCATGCAGGGATGGTGGAGCTGGATGATATTTAAGGTCATTTTCCAATTCAAACCATTCTATGAATTTTTTGCTCCAGGTTTGGAATAAAGAATGTTGGCCTCTTGAGCCATGCCCCCTGGCCTGCTCGCAGCAATCTGTAGCTCCTCCTAACATCCATAACCACCTACCACACACCCTGCTCCTGTCTGAAGCACATTTCTTTAATTCATCTCACTAATTACTCCCTCTATGAACAAGTTCTTGTCAGCTGGATATTGTAAGCTTGAGTCTGAAGCTCCCAGTTTGCTGATACTGTGTTTCTGAAGTCTGAACCTCTCTCTTGTTGTCAGACTCCTCTGTGAAAACTGGCAGCTCCCCAGGACAACCCACAGAGCACTCCAGCGAGTTGGGATCAGAGGAGAGAGGAGATCTCATTAAATTTTACAACGCAGTCTATGTAGGAAGAGTAAAATCATTTGCACTGAAGTATGATATCACAAACCAGGATTATGTAGTAAGTAAAAGACTTTGTAATTTTGCTCTATCTAATAATCAGAGTAATTTTTTCTGACTGTTAAACATATGTCGGTAATTTTATTCTACTATCCACCTGGTGTTCTCACAAAAGTCCAACAGTTGTAGGTGATGGTATGAGGACTTGCTTCAACAGCCTTTCAAGAGGACAAATACAGATGCAATTCAGTTTACAGCCCTGGTTTCAGCTTCTTTACATTGCTGCAGCACCCAGTTGCTCAAGTGCCTGTGGAGCAGCTGTGCAACACACCTGGAAAATGAGTTGGTTGTGTTGTTTGGTGGGTATTTGACCTGTTGTTTAACTGTTATGGGATAAAATCTTCCAAAGAAGATGCCAAGCTGCTGGAGCATGTCCAGAGGAGCCACCAACCTGGTGAAAAGTCTGGAGAACAAGTCCTATGAGGAGAGGCTGAGGGAACTGGAATTGTTTAGTTAGAAGAGGAGACTGAGGAGAGACCTGATTGCTCTCTACAGCTGCCTGAAAGGAGGTTGTAGGGAGGTGGGCGTTGGGCTCTTCTCCCAAGTGAATAATGACAGGTCAAGAGGAAATGGCCTCAGGTTGCAGCAGGGGAGGTTTAGCCTGGATATTAGAATTTTTTTTACCAAAAGAGTGGTTGAACACTGGAAGAGGCTGCTCAGGGAGGTGGTGGAGTCACAATCCCTGGAAGTGTTCAAAAGAAATAGAGATGTGGTGCTGAGGGACACTATGTAAGCACTGAACAGGTAGATTAGGTTATGATTGGTGGATTTCGGTTATGGTTGGACTTGATCATCTTTAAGGTCCTTTCCAACCAGGATGATTCTATGATTCTGTAATTTTCTTCTGTGAAGTTACTGCTCTTGAATATCTTCTTAGTTCCTGTCCAAATGTGTCCTGTCATGCAGATGGAAGCCCCTCCCTTGTCCCCATTCCCCAGCATCCGGCAGCAGCCGCTGTCCCCGCGGCGCGTCTCGCAGCAGCACTCGCTCTACGTCTCCCCTCACAAGAACGGGCCCTGCCTGACCCCTCGCACTGCCCTGCTCTACAAATTCAGTGGGAGCCCTTCCAAGGTAGGAAGCAAAAAGGTTGAAAAGGATATTAAGAGAGTGTGTTAATTCATCTCCTGACCAGGTTCTAACGCACTGAGGTGTCGTTGAACTGGTCTCAGTTTGTGGGGGAGGGTAGAATTCTTTAGGTGGAATCCACCTCTTGCTTGGCAAAGAGGTTCCTGACCTTTTGTGCTCAGGTAACTAAACACCAGAGCTGGTTTGAAATGGAGTCATAGCAACTCATCAATTTTTTTCTCTTGATGGCAGAGTTTGAAAGACATCAACAATATGATAAAACAAGGTGAACACAGGAGTAAGAAGCGAGCAATAACAATTGACAGTGACACTGAATCCCCTACAAAGAGACTCTGCCAGGAAAATGATGATGTTCTGCTCAAACGTCTCCAGGATGTTGTCAGTGAAAGAGCAAATCATTGAAGCTGCTGCTTTTCTGTGGGACCTGAGAGCTGGGGAGCTGGGTGCAGCTGTTGTGATGTTGATTTCTGGTTCTTGTACACAGACAACTGCCAAGTTTCTTCAAGATGGAACTTATACCTGACTTCTACAGGATGCAAAAAGCAGGAGTTAAGTAGTAAGTGCCAGAGGATGGGAGGTGATGTTGATCTCCATTTCCAAAGGTCATTGTGCTGTAAGTTACTCTATTGGAGCTCTTTCAGCAAAGGAGTGTTCTGTAGAAAGCCATATTGGATGTTCTCAAGCCTTATTTAGAGCATTATGAGTTCTGAGTGTAACTCAGCTTCTAACAATACTGGTTTATTGTTGAAATGACATTGATAAGGAAATTGTTGAAGTCAGTTAAGTTTCCTCAAGCTTTTTGTATTTCGGGAAGAAGCTTTAAAAGTGCCTTATTTTTAAAGAATTGTATGCATTATTTTGCTGTGGAAGTAACTGGAGTGGAGAACAAATTGATCATTTAGCCTCAGGAGGAGCTGAGCAATTTTGAACTGTATGATTTGTGCCATGCTCCATCTCCTGTCAGAACTTCAGCAGAAGTGGATGGTATGATGTGGATCAGACAACTTTTGCAATAACAAAGCAATAATTAACAAGTACAAATAGAGGTGGACACGGGCTGGACACTGACCCCTGATAAAGCACCAAGAGAAGCTTCAGTGAGTCTGAGTTACCTTTCCCTGGAGCCAGTGAATGCTTCCATGGAGCTGCTCCTTCCCTGTTGGAAGCCTGAGAGCAGCCCTGCTGGAGAAGCTGCTCATCTGTGCTGAAGCTGTGATGAAGTGGTGTGTGAAGCACCAGTTGGGTGCAGCTGAGGAACAGCTGAGCTTTGGCCATTTTACAGCTGCTCAGCTGCACAAATTCATTTAACAAATTCTATCTCTTCATTTCATTTTTTCCTGAAGATCTTAGCCTCTTGTGTAGCATCTACACTGAATGTAAGCCCATCAGATAAGGCATGTTTGTATATATGTTGAGGGGGGGTTTATAGCTATTAAAGGTCTGGATTAATTGGAAAGGTTTAAATTCCAGCAACCAATTCTTGGAACTAAGTATTTTTTTACACTGAGGGATTTGATATGGTTATTTTGCCAAAATAGAGAAAGTCAAGGTTAATTCATTACTGTAAATCAGTAGCTTGATCTTATTTCATAATTGCATTTAAGATTAGAGCCATAGGGAAACTTCTCAGTACTGTATTTTTTTCAGATTTTGTGTATATGGAACTGAAAAACAAAACAAAAAAGGAACGATGACATAGGACTTGTTTTTGGAGCTCTGTTCCCTTCATTGGTTGGTGTGTTCAGAATGTGCTGCAGGATCTGCTGGGCCTCAGCTCCAGGGAAGGGCAGGAAGATGCTCTCAAGCAGGCTCAGCTGATGAGTCTGACCAGCAATGATGGAGCAGGAA